TTCAAATACTTTGGGTATTTTATAAAACCATTAAAAATTATTGTATTTGGGACCAGTAGATGGCATAATGGCTATGTTGCTGGACTCCCATGTAGTCAACTGTGGTTCGAGTCCTGGACTGGGTGGCTTAAACTCATGCTGGGTGTGTGTGCATGTGTGCCCAGGAGGAGAATGGAGGAGAATGGAGGAGAAGGGATTGTGGCATGGCCATCACCTCTGGGGGTGTGTGTGATTTCTCACTTTCTGTCTCTCTGTCTCTGCCTGTCTTTCTGGTGAGCACATGTGCCCTATAGCAAAAATCTCTCCAAAAAAAAAAGAAAAAGAAAAAAAAATGTATTGTATTTAAGACCAAGACAAGTAGGCCAGACATGGTGGCACAGAGGCAATCCATGGCTCTGTGATACTGGATCCATGTGGAAGATGAAGGGTTGGGTTCCTGGGTCGACCAGTGTATGCTGGGTACACTTGTGCATGCCTGTGGTACTGGCTGGCTGGAAAGGCTTGGGGGAGGCTTATAGCATGAGAATCTGTTGAGAATATCTGTCTGTCTGTCTTTCTCCTGATCTCTCTCTTTCTGTTTCTGTCTCTCACTATCATGAAACAAGTATTTTTTAAAAGAAGAAGAAACATAATAATTAGGCACATCTCTACCATACTCATTTAATATATATTTATTTTTATGAATTTTCCACTTTGACATTAAGTCTTTACAATCTGCTTCCCAAATCTCCAGCTGTTATGTAAATATTAATATTAGATTTCTCTCCAGTTCAAATTCCTTACAATGATCTGCAGGGTTCTATCTGATACTTGCCTCTTTCTTTAATCCCATTTACCATTTTCACTTTTGTGAAAGGACAAAAATCCCTGCAAAATTTGCCTGTGTCTTTCTGCTTCTTAATCACTTTTTTCTCACCCCCAGGGCAGGACTCATAGATGTGTGACCTAGTCAGTGGCACAAAGTCCCACAAGGGGCCAACATTTTCATTTTGTACTGGGCACTTTAAACTATAGCCAGGGCCCTTATCACACTCCTCTTACGAAGAAGCTCCATTTTCTTTCTGTATTCCAATCATGCCAACCTCTGAGTAGCTATTTCTTCTTCTTGAAATATCCTTGTACTAGCTCTTTGTCCAGATGATTCTCAACCTCCGGTCTCAACTCAAATGTTAACTTCTCAGACAGATCTTCTCTGCTTTCTTCATCTAAAATGCCTCATCTAATCATCCTACCTTACGATCCATTTACTTCTTTAAAAGCACTGGCCTACAGTCTATAATCTCATTTATTGTTTCCTTGCCCACTGTCACACATTCCCTCTTCCTAAACAGAAAGTAGCAGGAAGTTGGTAATCCTGTCTGTGTGGGTAGTAACTGACAAATCATCACAGCTCCAACTAATGACCAGGATTCTCTCTCTCACCAAACTCTAGTCAAGCTCCTCTGAGTCATTTTCTCAACTGAAGTCTTGGCTAACACAAACTACAGACTCTCAACACAAGCTATGTCATTCATACCCTCCCACCATGACAAGACTGAAACAAACACGGACATAATTTTCAACAGTTCAAGGCTGCTTCCCTAGGAAGATCCTTGCTTCCCTTGTAGCGTCTGCCTGAAAAGAGACCAGGTTTCCAGAAGAATTTACGGCTTATTCTATTCAGCAACTGCAAGAGAGGCTCTTGACTGTTCTCAGGATTTTCTAAAATGAGCTTACAACTGTGAACCTTTCCTCCAACCCACTGAGCTGCCTATGTGCCTCCTACAACTCAAGACCTGTCTTTCTCAAAGACGTGAAAATTGTTTCTCTGAAATGTCGTCATCAAGGACAGAGCTCAGTCTCTCGGGCTCTATGGAAGTATGGAACCTTACTCCTACTGCTAGCTAGCAGACTCAGCTGGTCTATCCATTCACACTGACCAATCCTGTCATTTTTTCTCCCTGCTTCTCTGCTTCTGTGTGAGCCCTCACTGTTTGTTCTTCCTTCTACTCCTTCAGCCTCCCCTTCAAACACCCAGTCACATCTACACAAATCTAAGCAGATGCCAGGGCTTCAAAAGGTTTGCTGAAAATGGAATTAAAATATCAGTTTAGTCTGGTGTAAAGAAAATTGAAATCCATGCATAGTTTTTTCATAATACACATTTCCAATAAACTCTATGAAGAGACCTCATAAATATAAAATCATTATGTTACTGATTAAAATCTGTCCTTACCCTTTTAACTAGTCTCTGGATTTATTAGGTTTTGACAATGGTGCTGGACACAGGTAAGTGTTTCATACTAATTTGTTGAACAAATAAGTAAGTTTAGTAATAAATGATTCTTTATAAATCTTCTAAGGAGAGATATTTTCTTAGTTAATGTTATTTATGTACAATAAGTAGTTCTGCAACATTTTCTGAAGACTTTCTCTGCATATATATAAGGTCCCTATTTATTTGAGACCTAAGATACCTAAGAATGTGGGATTTATTTGTGTATATTTTATAAGCTTTGCTGCCTTTTTGTCGATTTATGATCCGAAAAATAATTTAATTCTCTAAACCAAGGAAAATGTGTACCTCTATGAATAAATAAATTTTGACACTATTTGGGAGGAAACTAAAAAATAACTTTTGATAGAAAATGAAGATAACTTTAGGAAAAACAGATTAGATCAAAGAAATAAGAACCAGTATCCAATGCTAGTAGGGCTTCAGCTAAATTGGGAAATTAACAAAGTGTGACCAGGATGAGCAAACAGTGTAATGGTTTTGTCACTGGAATCACACATAGTCAAATGTGGTTCAAGTCCCGGAGCTTAAAACTCATGCTGGACGCGTATGCGTCGTGCCCAGAGTCCTGAGAGGAGAATGGAGGGGACGGGATTGTGGCATGGCCATCCCCTGGGGGCAGGAATATCTTGCTTTCTGTCTCTCTGTCTCTCCTATGAGCTCAAGTGCCCTAGAGTAAAAATCTCTCTAAACACAAAATGAAAACAAAAGCAAAGTGTGACAATAGTGCATAGTGAGATAGACCTCTTTTAGAAAACAATTTGGTGTTAAGGACAGCAGGTGGTGTGGTGGTTAAGGCATTGGACAGTCCCACATAGCTGACCATAGTTCAAGTCCTGGAACTGGTGACTTGCTTTCTTACTTTCCCCCTCTCTCTCTGGTCAAATTAAAATTGTGTGATTGACTAAAATTTGATTAAAACAGATTAAAATGAATAAATAAAATTAAAATTAATAGTTTTTTTTAATTTTAGAAAAGAAAACAATTTGGTGTCAAGTATTTTGGCCATAACATAATAACATTTATTGAACCAAATAATTTATCTTGACTATTCTAACCTATCGAAATGTAATTTATTTACATAAAGGATGTAAAGAAGGAGCTATTTTCACAAAGATATTTGTAAGTGCATTGCTTATAGTATCAGAAAATTGAAAATATACTAAATGTCTAAGTTTAAGAGAATGCTTTGATAAATGATAGTAATTCACTCAAATATTCTTGAATAAGAAAAATTATACTATGTGACAACATGGGGGAAATACATACTTTGTAAAATGTTGAGTGAAAAAAAGCAAGATCAGAAATAGCTAAATTTCTGGACTAGAAGGTGATGTGGAGGTTGTGGGCACTGTATCCCACAAGGCTTACTGTGTGGTTTGAGTCTCAGACTCAGTGGCTTGAAAATCACACCAGGTTCATGTGCATGTGTGCCAAAATCCCAAGAGGAGAATGGAGGAAAAGAGATTGCAGCATGGCCATCTTCCTCAAGGGGTGATTTGTTACTTTCTCTCACTTTCTTTCTCTCTCTTTTCTCTCTGGTGAGTGCAGATGTTGTATAGTTAAAAAAAAAAAAGAGATACATCATGTCAAAACAAATGAAATCATAACAAAATTAGAAACATGGAAAATATAAGAAGGTAGTTTGTTCAGGAACTATTCAATCGTTAAGAAAGTCATGATGCATTTTGCACAGAAAAGCAGAAAACTACATCAAGACTTTCCCTATGACCTAATAGATGTATGAATATTTTAAATTCTTAATTTTCCATATTTTTGTTAATGTGAATAGAGTTAACTCTGAAAACATATCTTAAATACACCTAAAACACCTAAAAGAAACATTAACTTTTTTTTTTTTTTTTTTTGGAGAGATTTTCACTATAGGGCGTGTGCGCTCGCCAGACAGACAGAGAGAGACATTAGAGACAGAAAGCGAGAAATCACCCCCCAGGGGGGATGGTCACGCCGCAATCCCTTCTCCTCCATTCTCCTCTCGGGATCCTGGGCACGCACGCACACGCACCCGGCGTGAGTTTTAAGCCACTGGGTCCGGGACGCGAACCGCGGTCGACTACGTGGGAGTCCAGCGACATAGCCATTACGCTAACTGCTGGTTCCCAACTTTTTTAATATATAGCATCATTTTCAATGTAGGTCAGTGTGTACACTTAGAAGCATTTAGGACCCAAAAAGATCATTTCTTTTCTTCTTTTTCTTGGAGAGTTTTTTTCTATAGGGTGTGTGTGCTCACCAGAGAGACAGAGAAACAGAAAGCAAGAAATCACCCCCTAGGGCGGATGACCACACTGCAATCCCTTCTCCTCCATTCTCCTCTTGAGATCTTGGGCACACACGCACACACGTCCAGTGTGAGTTTAAGCCACCAGGTCTGGGACTCAAACCGCGATCAACCACATGTGAGTCCAGTGACAAAGACATTACGCCAACTGCTGGTCCCAAAACGGGTAATTTTAAAATCAAAACACAGATGTAGAAAAGTTAATAAACTAATTCTTGTAGAAAAAAAGTATAATTTTCCTGTATTAATTCAACACAAATATGTTTGCATAAAATAAAATCCAACAAATAAACATGGTTAAGTGATCTTCACAGTGCTTTCTTTTTTCAAAAACAGTTAAGTCTAAATAAACTGAATATAGTTTTAGACACTAATTAATCCCAAAGTGATGCATTTAAAGAAAAAAAGTGGCTCAGTACTCACAGGTATACAATATTCCACCATTGGATAATGTAATTTGTGACCTTTTGCTGTTCGACCTGAGAAAAAGCAACTCTGGCAGACATCATAGTTGAAATGCTTTAGGCTTCTATACCTAGAGAGGAGAAAAGAAAATACATTGGCTTGCATTACTGTTGTAACATCCAAATCAATCATTCATGGTAAGGAATTTCATTCACCCAAATCACCAAGGAAATAAAAGGTAGATTTGCTGTAAATATAAAATTTGATAAATATTTCAGTTCTGAACTGGGAAACAGTGAAAACCACCTCTTGAGTGAAAAAATGGAGTGTTCAAGTGTCTGAAACATGTTTCCATCTGTTTAAGCATGATGAGAAGACAAATATTTATGTCAGAAGACTTTCTGTAATGTTTGAATATGAATGGAAATGGTAGAGAAGAAAAGAGAGTTACGTTTACTAGCAAACCATTTTAAAATATCAACTATACCATCGATTAAAAAAAAATCTTCTAAATTATTCCCAAAGGCATTGTTTCTTGCAATGAGGATTTTTAGATTTGATTTCAACTAAGTACGAGGGAAAAAAAATTAAAAAGAAAGAAATAACTTGTAACAAAGAGCAAACCAAATAAAATCTTAACCGTAATTTATTTTTAAATGAAAAAAGGTGTTTTTTTGCTTTCTCACATAATTAGACTGTACATTATCTTCCATCTGCAGAATTTTATTTAGAAGAGCAAAAATTTGGATATTAAATTAGTAGGGGTCCAAATGGGAAACCTCTTTTGCCAAGTCTTCCATTCTGCCACATGGCTGGTGGACTATGAACATAAATTTATCCATAACTAGAAAAAAATTTTAGTGATAGAACAGGGAAAAAATGGATATTGTTAATATTTAAAGGTTATGTAAGGTTAATATTGTAAACTATTGAGTGCTAAGTAGCTCCTAAAATGACCTGCAAAGCCACTCACAAATTGATCTAAAGCAAATCAATCTGCATATACTAGACAGTCAACTTTGGCAAGGAAGCTACTTAGTTTCAGTCACCTACACTAGCAATATTTTTTGACCTATCAGCACCGCTTGACAAATATGATTGCCATCTCTTCTAAAAGCAGTTTTGTTTATTGTTGAGTACTTCTGTGGCAGAGAGCCACTTTTCGTTTTTTGCACTGGTAAGAGATCTTATACAATTAGCCCATTTTAGTGATGTGCCCCACTAAAAAGTCTCTCTTGCTGATGGTGGTGGTCTGGTCAGTGGAATAGATGTCAAGGTCACCGGTTGGGATTTTAAAGGAGTGACTCACTAGAGAAGAGGCATGTTCCCCTCTTCTTCCTTCCAGGGAGATGACCCTGACATCCCGAAGAGTCATCTTCTTAGCATGAGTTGAGCCACATGTTAGAGATGGCAGAGCTTAAGGACAGAACTAGGAACACAGGTGACCCAGAGGATTGCCTACCTTCACACTTACCTGACATGAAAGGAAACTAAACCTCTGATTTATTTAGGCTACTATTAAGCAGCTGTATGTGATTCTAACTGAAACAAATCCCAGCTTAGAAAATATTCTGTAAATCTAAGACTGCATTAAAATTTCATTTGGAAGTAATTCATAAAGAACTGTAGTGGTATATGTATAAGTTCAGAGAAAACGTATGTGTATATTTCTTGTGGCTACACACACACACAGAAACACACAGTATCTGGGGTAGTAACTCGATATGAAGACAGGCTGGATGAAGTTTGGTTTATCCTAGAACACACTTACTTCTCAACCTTTGCTTCTGTACTAGGCTTTTCATTCTTCCTATAGTTTCAGAGAAGGGGGTGACCCTCTACAACTAGGAACTAATCAGACTTACTCCATCTTGGCACCATTTACTACAGAAGTTATTCTTACATTCATTCCCTCCATAAGTAACCTTTGTTCAATAATAAGTCACCATTCATTTGAATAAGCTTTTGACTAGTGTTGCCCTTAAACCAGGTATCAACTCTAGACATATTTCTCTTTCATTCAGAAGTTAAAAATTTTAGATGTACCATATTCTCAATATAGGAAACTGAGAAAATAAGATATATGAGCAAAGAAAGACAATGTAATGTATCCATCTTACCATTTTCAATATCCTGACATACTTCTTTCAAGTTATAGCTAGAGTTCTTGAAAAAATTGTTGGCACCTTATAACTTCCTTGTTTTCTTGAGTCTGAGATTGGCTTTCTATCCTTATCATCACATGGTAAGGGTTCAAAGTTCCAGACTTCCAATTCAAAGGTCTGTTTTCACATATATCATGTAGATCTGTCTGCTGTACTTCACAAATACCCCACCATCTTTCTAAAGCCTTCTCTTTGACTTCCACACACTACGTATCTTCTCAAGAATCCTGATTCTTTCTCTTCTACATCTCTTTTCAATCCTACCTTCCACTGAGCAGCATAATTGCCCAGGTTTTCCTAGTATTTCCACTTACAGGAGAAGTTCCTTGACACATATCGTTTAGTTACTATCCCACTAATGATGTTTTTGGTAATAAAGAGAACTAACATTTGCTGGATGCCTATGCTATTTGTGACACATATGTTCCTAGACACTTTCAATGTACTAACTATGTCAATAAGGACAAACGGAATTTAAAGTTGAAAAAACTAGGTTCGTTCAGTAAGGCCAAGGTAATAACCAGTAAAGGTCACAAACCCAAGCAATAGATCCAAAATTCAAATCTAAGCAGCATGACTCCAAAAGTAGTTTTCAATATGTTTTCTTGCATACCCTACTGTAGCCTGGATCTTAACACCTGTTCAACTTTGCGTCTTTATCACATAAATTTTATTATTATTCATTAGTATTACAATCTTATTTTAATAATATAAAATTAAAACACTCAAAACTTAACATTTAATTGTGTTCATTCTTTATAACTGCTCTTTCATATTTCTCTTATGAAATATTTCAAGTTTATTTAGAAGTAGAAAATATAATAGACATGTATGTATCTACAACTCAACTGTTAAAGTCTTGATATTTTGCTAAAGTTGCTACAACTCCTTTTCTATATAAGAAATAACATTTTTTAGACAAATTTTTATTTTAAAAAAATTTTAGAGGGACAGCTTTTCACCAGAGAGAGAGACAGAGAAAAAGGGAGAGGTGAAAAGCACCCCACTGGGTGTAGTCATGCCACAATCCCATCTCCTCCATTTTCTCATCCAGTTGGGATTTTGGAAATATAGACATGTAAGCCCAGCATGTTTTTCAAGCTGCTAGAGCTGGGACTTGAACCATGTGTACAGCCATGTGAGATCCAGTTCCCTAACCACTGGGTCATAGAGCACACCCAAGAAATCAAACTTTAAAGGTTAATTAAATACTAGTACTTTTTACATTATTTTGTGCTGTGATTCATCCTCCATGTCTGCAGCCTCTACGAAATTTGGCCCCTGATGGCATTTCTAGGCTATTTATGAAAGATTTTATGTAAGCCAGTCTCTTCCCAAGTCAATTAACCAGGATATTTCCTGTGATTTTACAGAATAATTTTATATCCAGTGAAATGTTTTTGTTCTAATAATCAATATCCTAAATCAGTTTTTCTTTTAAGTATCATTTATATTATTTCTTTTTCTACCCCCGACCCTTATCAACTTCTTCCATGAAAGAGAGAGAGAGAGAAAGAGAGAGAGCACATCTCCAACAAGGTCTGTGCCATGATCCTCCCAGCCTCACAGCCCCAGATCACAGGCATGTGTGTGCCCAGCATACTCAGGATGTTCTCTTTATTTGATCCAGAAATCTTTTTCATGTGGAATTATCTTGCAGAGCATTGAATTTTACCACTGTACCATAGACTGATCCTTATATTACTTACTAATGTTAAATCTTTCCTCTCATAAAACTAACTGACTTTTTAAAATATCATACTGAATACAAGCATGAACCCCAGAGCCAAGATTTGGATAGGAACCCCAATGCTGTCTCCCTTCATAGATATCTGGCACTGGGCAAGTTGCCTAATCTCTGAGTCACAGTTACCTCATTTATAAAATAGAGCTAACACACTCAATTTTACAGAGTTTGTACAAAGAGTAAATGAAGCAACAAATGCAACACATGTTAGCACAGTGCATGACGAACACTCAATAAATGTTTGTGGTTACAAGCTCTGGTGATTCTCTCCCTCATTTGGATTATCTCTCGCTAATATCATGAGCCTGCAACCTTCCACTACTTCCTCTCTCATCCATCTCTGCCCACCTGGTACTTCAAACTTGCTCATTCCCAGAAACCTGCTGCATTTAAAGAGGCATTCCCATCTTCCTTTCCCTGAAGGAAGCTATTACAATAGATGTCTCTCAGGCATCTGCTGATGCTACTTAACCTTAACTATCTGTCTTTTTATGCTTTTACAATACTCAGTTGCAAGATCTGTTAAATTTATAACACTTTAAGAAGTCTCCCTCCAACCCCAGCCAGTGTTGTGGTGGTTAAGGTGGCTGAATACCACATGGCCAATTTCACAGTCCAAGTCTTGGACTCAGCAGCTTGAAATCAGGCCCAAAATCCTGAAGGGGAAGAGAGATGGATAAGAGATTGTGGGATGACCATCCCCCAAGAGGAATGCTTTATCACTTTTCTATTCTCTCTCTCTCATCTGTCTCCAGGCAAATTTTAAAAAAGAAAAAAACAGTAACCTGAGCTACAACATCACAAATGGAACAAGAAATTTAAGTTCTTGTCTTAGCCACCCACAGAGAATGCAATGGTACCTTCGCACAAACTATTAGGATGATAAAATGAGTCAAATGAAAACAACTTCATGTAATTCAAGGTCATGATACTGTATACAACCATCACCAATCCCACCCTCCTGATTTGGCTTCCCATCAGAAAAGCACCATCTTGGCTAAGTCTTCTTTGGGTAGGAATGAAGGTACTGTGAAATCTTGAGTTTCCCTACTGAGAAGACTTAAGTTGGCTTCTAATAGATGTTTAAATTAGACTGGGGTTATTCCTGAATTTCCCCTGGAAGAAAAATAAAGTCTAAGAGAGAGGACCCTGCACAGTCTGCTTTGGGGTCACACACTCCTGTGTCTAACACACTGATTAAAGTGTGGCACTTAGCAGCACTCCTCACATGGACAGCAGGGTCAACCTGCTTCACGCTAATCTTGGCAGAAGTCACACGAAGTAATTTGATTACTTCTCAGTTCGTGTTTAAATGTTGCTTCCTGCATACTAAGCTTCCCCCTTTGGCCTCAGAACATCCACCAAATTCCATCGAGGCTATATATTTACAATTGGTCATGCAATTAACATGCGTGAACATTTCTGTGATAAGTAAACATTCATAAACATTTCTGATTCTGGACCAAAAAAGTGTAATAACAATAACAAATAAAATAAGCTTCCATAAAGTGACTATAAGAAAGAATGGCATTTTTAAACAGAGTTAGAGCATTCCATTAGTTTGGGAGGCAAACTCAAGAATGGGAATAAATGAGAAGGGATAATGGACATACTGTCAAGATTGCACAAACTATAGAAGTGAGACTCCTGTCACCACTCATGGTGTCTTACCTAAATCCAACAATTGGGCATTCTTTACAGATGTTGCATTTGGCCTGATGTTTTGCAGTCTCAGCTGCTGCCACTCGATGTAAAACTGGCAGCCAAACCATGGATTGTGGTTCCAAACGCATCCAATCTATGAATTCTTTTACACTTATCTCTGGCTTGTTGTTATTCTAGTATAGAAACAAATAAAAGTGAAGAAAATTTCCTTGGTTAAACTGTGGCAAGCACTGTTGCTTCAAATTGGCAACAGAAGAAAGAGGAATGCTACATAATTCAGCCCAGGTCAGTGAAATCACAAAAGCTTTAAGGTTCTTTGAGGCAAGAAAACTGTAAAATTTTAAAATAGGAAAAGCAGAAATTGTCACATAGGAAGAAGAAAAAACTCCCAATATCTTAATAGACTAGAAGGAAAAAAAAAAAAGTCAAAACCAGAGCCCAAACAAAACAATCCTAGATATTTTTGCACAAACATTATAACTCTATAAAACTCATTCATCTAAGGAAGTAAAAAATTTATGGAAGAGTCACTGATGACTATTCAAATTGGAAGTCCATTATGACACTAAATAACAACCTCTGTGTCTTGCTCTAGCTGTGTTAGATATTCATACTGGAGTCATGTTCCTATTAATGTATTTTGCAGAATTTTAAAATTTATCATGATAAATCACATAAAACTTCTTGGTTCCTCTTCAAATCATAATACTAAGCAATTTTCATATATGCAAAGTTAAATTTCTATCAACACCATTCCCCTGCTGTTGTCAAAGTCATTCTATGAATCAACACATATGACTACAAATTATATTTAGAATTTTCATTTGGTATTCTTTTTATTTCTAAAGTAAGAAAAAGGTCCATTATAAAATGTAATAACCCATGACATCAATTTTTTCTAATATACAGTACAGGCATTTTTTCCCTCAGCAATGGTAAATCATTGTTCTTTGCAAAATATCCATAGGTGTGTACTTTATCCCACATCAGTAGTGATATTTCTAAAACATCTTTATACACAGAAAGTATCACAAAGAAACTAAAGTACCTTTCCATTTTAAAATTAGTAACTCAGATTAGTATAGAACTTTGTACATAATTTTCCTCTTGTACATGTCCAAAGAAAATAATTATTTTAATAAAAAATTTTAATATATGTACTTTGAAAACCATATTGTGCATTATAGTGATGGAATGCAAATTTTAAAAATTAATGTGCTAAAAAAATGTTAAGTCTAAAGAACAGAAAAAAATTTTAAAAGAGGGATGGCAGGTTTGGAGGAGAATGGAACTGTTCTGTATCTTAATGGTGAAGGATATCCACATCTATATATGTATTAACACTCCTACAGCTGTATATCAAAAGAGAAAAAAGTCAATTTTATTGTATTATAATTAAAAAACAATAATATTAAAATACTCCCCCCCCCAAAAAAAAAAACATGCCAGCAAAAAAGTCAGGATATTTTTAATGGATTTATTTGGAAAATATTAATTAAAGTAGTTATAATGTTCAAGGCACTGTGCACAGGGATATGCTGTGGTCTAAATGTTTAAGTCTCCCCAAAATTTTTATGCTGAAACTTTGCCCCCGAGAAGATGGGGTCAATGCTCTCATAAAGAGGCCCAAGGGAGCTAATCACTCCTCTTCCACTACATAAGGTTATAGCCAAGAGTTGCTGTCGATGAATTAGAAAGTAGACCCTCGCCAGACATCAAATCTGCAAGCATTTTGACCTTGGATTTACTAGCCTCCAGAACTGTAAGAAATAAATTTCTGTTATTATAAGCTATCTAGTTTATGCTACTTTTGTTACAGTGACCTGAACAGATAAGACCTAAGGAGATAACAGTAAAATGATAAGACACAGGGCCTAGGTGTGGTGGCACATGCTGCTAGGTCACTGTGCTAGATTTCAGGCTGAGGCCACATGGGAGGCCCTGGTTTGATATCTGGTCTAACTTAGGCTGGACACGGTGGTGTATGCTTGCAATTCCAATGATAATAAAGGCTGAAACAGGGGGATCACGGGCTTAAGGCTGGCTTGGACAATAAAATGAGATCCTATCCAAAAAGGAAGTGGACATGGTGAAACCCTGTCTCCCCCACACACACACACACAAAAAGACACAGTCCTTGTCTTCATGGAATTTAGGTTCATAAAGAACAAAAAATAAACACTATGTAACAAACTATGCAATTCATCTTGTCAATATAATTTTAATGAGCATGGCAAGGAAGAAGTGAAGTGTGAAGATACACACACACACACACACACACACACGCATATATACACACACATGTATCTGTTCCATGAGAAAAACAGAGAGAAACAAAGACAAGCAACCCTAAAGGGCCTTCACAACCTTATTAAATTTAGTCTCAGGCAGCCTGAACGTGAGGCATGCATGTGCACCCAATGTACACAGATGCCGAAGACCTTCTCTTGTAGTCCAGTGTCACAGGGCATTGAGTTACTGCTGTGCTAACAGCTGGCCCAAGGATCTTAAAGTGAATAAAGAGGGAAACACAACCTTATCTGAAGAGGTCAGAGGAAGATTTCAGAGGCTACATGAGTTCAGTTAATATCTAAAATTGGATAAGGATTAACAATGAGAGGCAATTTGTAGGTATAGGGGAAGGAAAAGAATTCCAAACAGAGGGCACATATTCAAAGGCATGAAAACAGGAATTACGGAAGTAAAACAGTATGGCTAGAAAGCAGAGAACACAGAGATGAGTAGCAAGAGATGACATTGGGGGAAAGACCTGGCCAAACAGCAATCTAACAGCACAGGTTAGAGTTCAGATTTTACCCAAAGAAAAGTAGTCAGTCACCACACAGGGGTCACTACTGTTGGGATCAAATGAGCTGTAGCAAATAAAACATAAGCCCACAGGGATGGAACTCAAAGACTTCCACCATTTAGTCCAGCTTGAGTTCCCTTTGTATTTTTGGGAACACTCTCAAAACCCTTCTGCAGCATGTCCTATGTGACAGAAATCCTTTGTCGCTACCTGTTGGAAGCAGCTGCGAACACTCGGCTCAATATTACTGCCTCCAAAAGCAGCTACTTCCCCCAGCTGCCGCGGGATCTGAATGGCATCATGGAGTAACAGGCCCAGCTGCCTCTGGTCACACATTTCGGTGGGCCCCGCTACTTCCTTAAAGAGATCTGAAAAAAAGGGGGGCAAGAGGTTAACTTCTATCTGCCTATAATGTTCTTTTACTTAAAATTTATCTTTGGGAATGTGGATTGAACACTGTAGATGAAAAATAATTTCCAGGGGACATGGATCAGATCAGTGGTATCCTGAATACCAGTGATCTTAATATTCTGATCTTGATATTTGGCATGTCTGTAATTGGGAACATGTTTCTTAAACAATCTAATGTCATCTGTCAATATATATATAAACTCATAAATGCATCAATAAATACAAAGTTTCTCTTTAAATGCTACAATAAATGCACATGGGTTAATTTTATGATCTCAATAAGGGTTTCCACTCTTATTGAGAAAGAGAACAAGTCAAACAAAGTTTCTTTCGTGACTTGTCAATGGAAAATATAAATCTTAAACAACAAACTGTTAAATTTTAATCATGTTTACCAACTTTTTGTTTTCACTCCTAATTATTCTATAAAATATACTTATTTTGGCTTCTTCTAAAAATCACTATGATTATATGTGTCACATAAAAGATACTAAAACATATCAGGAAGTGTACTTTTCCTTTTTAGGGCCAGTATCTAATTTCTTATTGGTTATAAAAATTTTTTTGTTCTACTTCATGCTTGAGTTAATGAAATACATTTATTCAAATTTAAAGAACTTATTAACAGAAATTTGTGCACACTTTCACATGGTTCTTAGGCCTCTCCATTCATTAAAAAACAGTGATTTGTTTTAAAATTCTCTTAATTCAATATATTTAAAACATTTTAGTACTGGCTTATATTCTATTCATCATATATAATATTTTGGAAATTGTAGTTACTATATTTCTAAGAAAAACGTTAATGTACTAAAATAAGTTACTTTTGGAATAGGGAGAAATTTCAAATGTAAAAGGTTCACTTCATTATAGAAACTAATACCTTTTGGAAAGAAACTTTCTAGTTCTAAAAATCTGTAAGTGCCCAAAATCTAACTTCTCGTCACATTAAATTTTCCAAAAACAGAAGAAATGATCCCCAAAAAACTATTTTCAAACAATACCTGATAAATGAATATCAGATCAAAATATATCATTCTCTCTTTTTTAAGCTCTAATACTGTCAGCAGTGACTTTTCATACAACCGAACTAGGCATATTGTTATTGACACAGTAATTATAATGAAATATGGCTTTAATTATAAGCATACGTAGAGAAAGAAAATTCAATTAAGATAAATTTAATTTTTATTATAATTTGTTCACTTAAATCTGGTTAGAGCTCGACTGGTTTCTTTTCATTTTTTAAAATTAAGACTATCATAGCCCAACATTATTTATCCAGGAGTCTTATTATGATGCTCATTTTAGACCCACTCCTGGGAAGAGGTTTATTAAGTAAATACAGAATCGATGCACATGGATAATGATCTTTACAGAGAAGAGTACATTTCCAGCAAGATCAACCCTGCCCAACTTTTCTTTTTTGAGGCAGACATCTACGATACTCTGCCATGATGAAGGTAAAAGTACTTAAGAAACCTGGGAGCAAAGTGTCCTTGAACATTTGGACATATTTCTAAATCATTATTAAAGCTCACATTCTTCACATTATCAATACATACAAAAAGCAGTGTCAGGCTGTGGGGGTGGGTCACGAGAAGAGTCATAATCTAAAACCCCAGGGTCGATAAATCATCACTGAAGAGATACAAATGCTTTTTTTGATGACACTAGGAAGACACCCAGCTATAAGCACCAAGGCCAGTGTGTCCTGAGATTCTAATCAAGGGATAGTCTCAAGAAGGCACCAAGAGAACAGGAGGTGTCACAGAGATGAAGGAGTCCACATTGGTCATTGTGAAATCAATGCTCAGACAGACATCAGTTGACTTAAATGGTGCTTCTGCCACTGTGTTTGGAGAGCAAGTTGTCTTGGATATTAATTCTAACAAAGGAAATAATAATAAGGATGTGTTTTGATATCACTGGGGAAATCAAAACTAGATGTCAGAGTTGCTAAGGACCTTAAAGTAAAAAGCAAGACAAAACCCCCAAACATTCCCAGAGTCCCAATATCCCAGCAAAGATTTAAATTAAAGACTGCAACCCAAGAGATTTCTTATTTAATTAATTCCTAAAAGTGCATACTTCATGTATTAAAGTAAATTTTGGAAATTTTTACTGCAGACTTTTGCTTCCCCTGCTCAAATCTGAAAGTTTAATGTTGCATTATATAAAAGATAAGCTTTGAGGCTGAATTTGTATTTGTTTCAGAGTAAATTCAGCACTGTGATGTAACTGTTCCTTTTAGAGAACCCTAATTCTTTCAAAAGCTTATGAAAACTCCAAATCAAAAATGATTTTTAAAGAATCTTTTCATAATTTTAGAACACTGATGCTTTTATTTTCATGATTATGATGCCAAAGACTACTTAAATTCTGGATAAAGTGCCACAAAACAAAAGCCTCATGCATGGCTTACTAGGCTCTCACTCCATCAGGCTCCTCACCTCCTGACCCTACAATCAGCTTTTCATTTCATACAAATCCCTATCTATTTTCACTGATGTTCTTGTCAAACTACATTAGAACAACAAGGCATCATGCTCTAAACCTGAAATTTAATTTGAATACATTCGTAAAGACCCCAGAAAATAAAAGTTTTCTTTAAATGAACCCATGTTTACATGAAACATAAAACTTAAATTTATAGGACCTTGATCAAATCCTCTTGTTTTGGTGTCTTGCCATTCATGAAACATTCCAAACTCTTCTCCCACAAATATATTTATTTATTTGTAAAGAACCATCTGGGGTGGAGGCAGCAAGTGGCTGAGCGAAAGTCTCTGGACTTCCACATGGCCGACCATGGTTCAAGTCTCAGATCTGACAGCTTGAAACTCACATTGGACATGCATATATGCGTGCCCAAAATCCCAAGAGGAGAATGGACTAGAAGGGATTGAGGCATGGCAATTTCCCTAGGGGTGGGGGGAGAGGTGATTTATTGCTTTCCGTCTCTGTCTCTATTTCTCTGGTGAGCACACACTCTAGCAAAAAACAAAAACAAAACTCTCTCAAATAAATAAATAAAAAGAATCTTCTGGGACTCTGCATGGCAGGACTTATATTTTATGGACAAAAGTGGTTAAGAGTTTGGAAATATAGCAGTATCATTTATTCAACAACAGCTATTTCTAGATACTTTTAACAAACCGTCTGTAATTTCATTCCAAGCAGAAATTGTCAGCTTCATTTTTAGTTGAAAAAAAAAGTCACTAAATTTCAGCTTCCTGAACTGTGAAATGGGAGCCATACATATTACCTCCTCCTGGCCAGCAGCATGCAGTGGAAGCAGGTAACCTACCCAGAGACAGCCAGCTCCTAAAGTGGTAGGGATTCGAGGGCAGGTTTTCCTGGCTCCTCAGCAGATGTTCTTTCCAATGCCAAGAAACATTCCATTAACTAATAACGAAGGGGACAGTGGTTTTGATTATATTCTTTGTTTTTTTTTTGTTTTGTTTTGAGAGGTTTTTGCTACAGGGCGTGTACGCTAGCCAGAGAGCCAGAGAGACAGAAAGCCATAAATCATCCCCCAGGGGTGATGGCCATGCCACAATCCCTTCTCCTCTCTAGATCTTGGGCACCCACATGCACGTGCCCGGTGTGAGTTTAAGTCTCCAGGTCTGGGACTTGAACAGCGGTAGACTACATGGGAGTCCAGCAGCATAACCATTATGCTAACTGCTGGTCCCTTGATTATATTCTTAATCTGTCTGAGAATTAAGTTTCTCAGCTGAGAAATGGAAACCACAAGGCCTACATTATGAGTCATTATTCTAAAAATTAAATGAGATATAATTTGTAGCTGGGCCTCACACTATCAAGTCACCTCATTTCTTGGTCTTATTCTCAGCTTTTAATTTCTTTTTCTTTTTAAAAATTAATTTATTTTATTATTATTCATATAATAAATTGCTATTCACCACTTAGAGTATGAAGATACTTTACCCAGCATGACATACACCTCAGTCCAGTCCAGTTGAGATCAACATACACATCCTTGTCAACAGATAATAAATCTTATGTGTTTCACAAATGTCTACCTCTCCACTTTCCCCCAAATTTCCTATATTCTTCCCCTCCCACATGCTATTTCCACTTTGTCTTTAGTGTCCATTACAATTTTTAATACTTTTATGTTCTCCAATCTTTCAGTCTCTACCATAGGGTGCAGACAGTCAGTATATGTTAAGTGGAGACATGCAATGTCTCTCTTTCATAGCCTGACTTGCTTCACTCAGCAACAAATCTTCCATATTCATCCACTTTCTATCAAATTCTAGGGCCTAGTTTTTTATGGCTGAGTAGTATTCCATGGAATATATGTGCCACAATTTTTCAACCCATTCATATTTCTGGGGACATTTAGGTTGGTTCCATGTCTTAGCAAACAAATCCAAATATCTGTACTGTCATCCTTTGTGTAACCTGGTACATGATAATAAAGATTTAAAAAAATGGAAACTACAGGGTTGTTGGAAAAGTCATGAAATAGTTTTCTATGTTTTTCAATGTAAATATGTGTCATGACTTTTCTGGCAACCCAATTATTATCACTAGCAAATCATATAAAGTCCCAATAAACTGTTATAACATTACAAAAGCTCTTACATACATCTGTATTTTTCTTCTAAGAGGCCTTTGGAGAGAGATATCAATCCAATCTTCAGACTCTGCACTCTGATTTTTCCAGTCCGACCCCTGAAATTAAAAGAATCTCAGTGTGTTAGGTGCACCTAAAACTCTTTTCAGAATGTTATTTCTGAATACCTATTTTCTTGAGGGTAAACCATTTAAAAATAATCATATTTTAAAGATGTAAATTTTCTATTTATTTTTCATAATTATATTAAAACTATACTGCAACTTCATGATATATTTTAATAATCATTTGACTAAGTCTGGAAGAATACACAGCCTGAAGTCATTTTACACAAAACACATAAATGGAGAAGAACAAATTAAAGCATAATGAAAGAGTAACTGTAGAGTCAAAAAGAGTTCATTTTTATAAATAATTTGAATTAAAATCTGTTAATAATTACAAATGAAGACTCAAAATTGATAGCTAGATGTACATATAATATTCACGTGACTTAATACAGAAAGAAAGGGCTCGTGATATATCTTACAACAAGTGGAAGAAACCTAACTATAAATTAACCACAGGCTGAGGGCTTATAACTTTCACAACACTTAAAAACTTACTGTCTTTAGGGCCAGCAGGTGGTGTGGTGGTTAAGGTACTGGATTCCCACATGGCTGACTGCAGCTCAAGTTCTGGAGCTGGCAGCTTGCTTTCTCACTTTCCCTCTCTCTCTCTCTGTCTTTCTCTGATAAAATTAAAACATAAATAATAATAACAAATAAAATAAATAAATAAAAATATCTTTTAAAAAATAACTTTATTGTCTTGTCCTCCATTTCTCCCTCTGGGATTCTGTGCATGCATGCACACATGCCATGTGTGTTTCTCAAGCTGCCGAGTTCAGGACTTGAACTATGTGGCCAGCCATGTGGGACTCAGCTGCCTTAACCACCATATCAAGGGCTGCCTGCAGATTAGGTTTACATGATTTATTTTCTTACATTACATTTTCGATACACAGTACCATACACTTAATGTCTATAACCGAATGTTCACATAGTTAAATGACTATTTAAAACTTAGTAATTCAAGCCACTTTAAAAGCAGGAAGTTGGGGGTCAGCAGGTGGTATGGTGGTTAAAATGCTGAACTCCCACATGGCCGACCACAGTTAGAGTCTCCGACCTGTTGGCTTGCTCTTTCACTTCCATTCTTATTCTCTCCCCTTCTCTCATCAAATTAAAAAAAATAATAACAAATAAAAATAAATAAAACATCACAAAACAATAATCCTATCAACTTACAAATTTTAGGCAGTATTAATGCTGAATTATATTTAAATCTTTATTTTACTGTATTTTTACTATTAACACTAATTGATATCTTCTAATCTCAAATTATAAATATTTATGACCAGCAGGCAGTGTGGGGGTTAAGGTCCTAGACTCCCAACATAGTCGAATACAGTTTGAGTCCCAGACTCAGGGGCTTGAAACTCACACCCGGCATGTGTGCTTGCATGCCCAAAATCCCAAGAGGAGACTGGAGGAAAAGAATATGTAGCATGGCAATTCCTTCTGTGGGTAGGGGTGAGGGGGTTCTCATTTTCCCTCTTAACGTCTCTGTCTCTCTGGCAAGCACACTAGCCCTGTGGCAAAAACCTCAAAAAAATTATAAATATTCAAATTTTTTTTTTTTTTTAGAGATTTTCACTGTAGGGCGCGTGCGCTCGCCAGACAGACAGAGAGAGACATAGAGACAGAAAGCGAGAAATCACCCCCCAGGGGGGATGGTCACGCCGCAATCCCTTCTCCTCTATTCTCCTCTCGGGATCTTGGGCACGCACGCACATGCGCCCGGCATGAGTTTTAAGCCACCGGGTCCGGGACACGAACTGCGGTTGACTACATGGGAGTCCAGCGACATAGCCATTACGCTAACTGCTGGTTCCCAATATTCAAATTTCTGTATACATACTATGACATGAAGTATAAAATAAACAAACAAATAAATAAGTATCCTTAGGAACTCTATTTTCAAAATAGCCCCTCAATAGCCAAGAGTTTATCATCTATATCAAATCATATCACAAACTTACTAACCCCTTACTATGTATAAAACATTCAGAACTGACCTATGAAATGTCAGTCATATTTAAATATTAAAATAAATACAGCCCCTATAATGAGAATTTCTAAGTTAATGTACTCGTTCTAGTTTCTCAGTTTCAATTTGATTTCAGATTAACCCTAAAATGAGCTGTGCTATAAACTGTATTTCTATTTCATGTTTTTTAAGATTTTCATTTATTACATGACATAAACAATGCCTTTCTCCTTCCTTTCAAAAGTTAGGAGATTTTTATTTTCTGAACACAATCAGGATGTAGATGCAAAAAATAACAAAGAATTCTGTGAATACACTGGAACAATCACATGAATGTGGCTAAAGACAAAGCAACCCCTCAAGGGAAAAATGGTCAAAACAATATACATTAGAGCCTCTATCCTGACAAGACATAAAAGAAATATCAGAAAGACAACAGAAAATGTCAATCATCCATTCACTGCAACCATCAGCAGTTACGAAGGTGTCTTGGGATCCCAGCATGGTTCCATGGACTGTAGGGACCACAAGCTCACACATTAGCTGGGAGGTAAGATAAGGAAACAACTAGGATATCAAAAGAAAATATGAAACCAAATTTTATGAATGGAAACAAAGAAACAATACAAGATCATTGTGGCTAACTAGTCATGAGTGATTACAAATTAGTATGAATAGTCATCAGTCTCACAAAATTTGATATAGAAGATAAATCTAAAATCAGACATTGAAGACTTGACACAACTGGACTGTCTGTCCCAAGGAAGGAAAGTATCACAGGAAAAGTCTAGCAAGAGGACAGAAGCAGAAATGAGAGCACCAGACTCAAGATTCATTAGATGGGAGGAGAGACTGCATCAAGTGACTGATTAATGAAGTAGTATGGGTTATATGGTCAGATTGTAGAGGGCTTTGATATTAAACAACGTATCAGAATTTGAAAGACAATAAGGGGCTAAGGAAGTTTATTAAGAAGAGACAAGGCTCAAAGAGATTCAAGTATTTAGTTTCCTGATAGTTTTCATAAGTAACTCTTTAAATTATATTAGCTAGAAAGATATATATATCTTATAAAATTATACCCATCTTGAAAAGTGGGGAAAATGACTTAACACTACAGCAAATGAGGTTAATATTTTCTGTATTTAAACCAAGTGTTCTAGACTATTGCTGTAAAGCATGATTTAACTGCTTTTGATTTCCATTAAATCTAGAAGGAAGATTGTGAAATTAAGACTTTTAACCTGGGAAGATACAGACTGAGGGAGGCTGTGAATTCATAATGGAATCGATTTTATCATTAGAGTTCACAAAGTCCTCTTTACATATATTAGTTCATTTGCCCTTCACAATCACCTTTCATGTGGAAAGCAGAAAAGATATTTTTATCTCAATTTTTCAGATGAGAAATTGAGATGCCAAAGTTAAGTGGCTTCCAAGTCACACAGTAACCAGAACCAAAAATCTGAATTCTTATCATACACAACAGATGAAAATAGATTTTTTCTTAAAACTCGGAATATGAGAAGGAGTTAGGTACATGTTAGATGTTGAAGTAGTTTACTTAAACTAATTTACAAAGTATTATTTTCCTAGGTATGACAATGTATCAAGTGATTATTAAAAAATTAAATATTAATTCCACTATACCACTAATATGCAATAAGTGACTGTGAATAAATTGTCCTATCTCATTGGGTCGGTTTTTCTTTTTCTCTAGAGAGATTTTTGCTGTTAGTTGTGTGCCCTCCACAGAGAGACAGAGATAAACAGAGAGACGGAAAGTGAGAAATCACCCTCTGGGGATATGACCATCCATACTGTTATCCCTTCTCCTCCAGCCTCCTCTCAAGATTTTGGTTACCTGGTACAAGCGCACAGCATGAGTTTTAAGTCACTGGGTCTGGGACTCAAACTGGTGTTGACTATGTGGAAGTCCAGAGACATAACCATTATGCCATCTGCTGGTCCCATTGGGTCAGTTTTTCAATCAGCATAATAACATAATGAAGAGGGAAGAAAAAAAAATCTCCCAAATCTTTCTATTTCAAGAATTCTATGATCTACTCTGTGTATGTCACCCATTCTATAAAAAGGTGGTTGTGCTTGAAACTGAAAATGTTGGTCCTGGCTAAATCATACTACATAAACAAAGTAAAAATTATATCAGTGGAGGGCCAGCCAGTAGTGTGGTGGCACTGAGTTCCCACATGGCCAACTACAATTCAAGTCCCAGACCTGGTGGCTTGAAAAAAATCTCACTGGGGGCAAGTGTAAGCATGACCAAAATCCCAAGAGAAGAGAAGGGACAGTGGTGTGGCCATCTTCTATATATATATGTATGTATATGTCAGCCTATTATAGTATCATAGCCATGGGATTAAGGTGGCTGGACCCCACATGGCTGACAGTATGGTTTGAGTCCCGGACTGGCAACTTGAAAAACAAACTGAGCAAATGTGCATGCATGTTCCAGATCTTAATAGCACAGAGAAATGGAGAAGAGACTGCAGCGTGACCATGCCCCAAGGAAGGTGCTTTCTCACAGCCCACTCTGCCCCATCTCTCTCTGGCAAGAGCATATACCCTCTGGAAAATAAATAAATAAATAAATAAATAAATAATATATGTGTACACACACACACACACACACACACACACACACACACACACACACAAATAATGAGAAATGAATTAATATCAGAAAGCTGAAAGAATGGAAGAATTAGAACATGGTATCATTTCTAGGTTGACAGATTTCTTAGGGGCCTATAATGTCCTGGTGCTTGAAAGAGAGTAGATTGTAGTTTCTATTAAAGTCTCAACAAGAATTTTTAAGATTAATAGAAAGAGTTAATAACCATTGTTCAGATAAATGATTAAGTCATAGTTATTAGAGAATCTTGGACAATCAATTCTGGCCATTTGAGCCTACTGCCATAGGAGTAACTATTTTTTTTTTTTCCCTTAAGTTAATCCATGATACTGCTCTCTAAAACTGGAAGTTTAAATGGACCTCATTCTCAAGCAGCCTGGCTTGTTTTTGGTATATTTCTTTGGCATAGAAGGGAGATAAGTCCTGAAAGGTTTTTTTTTTTTTTTTTCTTTTAAAATGGAACATGAGAAGTTTTCAGGATACTGTCTTCTAAATAAGAAACAGTACCATAGTCTAGCATTTCCCATGTGTTCATATTTCATGGTAGAAAGCAGAATTTTGCTGACATTTAATTCCCTTGAATAGAATCATAGTATTTCACACACTGCTTCCTTCCCAACTCACTCTATTCCTTTTGGTCTGTCCAATGAAAATGGCACCTGTGCGTTTTAAGGGTTGAACTGTGTTCCCCTAAAATTTCTTTGTTGAAGTCTTATCCCAGTTCTTGGGAATATGACTGTATTTGAAGATACAGTCTTTAAGACATAATTAAGTGAAAATGAGGTTATTAGGGTGGAATCAAATCCAATGTGACTGCTGACCTAATAGAAAGAAGAGATGCACGCAGACGGCACAGAGGAAGACCATGTGAGCACATTGAGAAGACAGGCATCTGAGTGCTGGGGAAAGAGGTTTCAGGAAAAAATTCAACCCTGTTGACATCTCGATCTGAACTTCTAGCATCCAGAACTGTGAGGAAGTCCATTTCTGGTATTTACTTTGTTACAGCAGCCTTAGTAAACAATGCCTAGAGAGAACACTCCCACCTGTCCTTCAGTTCTTTCCTAAAGTATTTCTTGAGATGGACTTCTAATTTCTAACTTAGTATTCCATCAATTTAGCATTTTTCCTGGTACATATATTTAAATTATAGGCTTTGTAATTAAAACAAATAATAGACCAGCTATTTTTGGTGAATTTACTATATACCTCTTTCAAACATTTAAAAAATTGAAGGGCAGCTTAATGGTGGGTTAATATTAATGCTAGTATTTTACCCTAGATTAATCCAAAATTTGCATTAAAAAGAAATATATTAAAAGATAACAGCAGCCAGTCCTGAAGGGCAGTGGTTAAGCATTATGCAGAGGAAGCCAGATCCCACACAGCTGACAGGGGTTGGAATCCCAGACTCAGTGGCAACATGCGGAGTCCATGTCTGCCCAGGATCCTGACAGGATGAATATGTGGAACGAGGATTACAGTTTGACCAGGTCCCATTGAGGGGTACTTTGTCTTTTTCTCTTTCTCATATAAAAGGAACAAAATATATCAGATAGAAATACCTTTAATTCTATATTCATTATGGTAACTAAGACTAAGGCTTCAGTGAATTCTTTAAGAGTCCTCACGCCAACAATAATTGTTTGATTATTTGAAAAAAACACTATGATACTTATGAATATTGAAAGAGAAAACATTTTTCTATTTTAAAAATTCAGTTTTCTATAAAGATGACAGCTATCAACATCATTTACTTCTTATACAGAATCAATCAGCTGCTAAACGTGTGCATTTGTGAACTATCATCTATCTTCTTTCTCTCTAAATCAAATAAAAGACTGATAAACATAAATTTTCATATAGCTAATTAATGGAAAATAACTTTCAGTGTCTGAGAGAAAAACAACAGTTCTAATTTTCTTATTTCATCTTTGCATACTTTAACCCCCCACCAGAAGAATGAATAATTCCTAATGTTTCAGAAATGTCATTCCACAGCAGGTCTTTCTAGAATTGATTATTTCACAAATGCATTGTTGTATTCAAAAGAGGCAAATTAATGGTAAATGAGTTATGTTGGAAGTTGAGAGTGTTCTTTATGTAACACTGAGCACCTAATTAAATTACAGATATTGGGGTGTTCTGTAGCACAAATTATTTAAAACACCATATATCTGCAAAACCACCATGGCAATAAATAAAGCTAATATCAAAAGACAAGTCAAATCCCATTCATTGTCATTTAAATTGCTCTTAAATTGCCAAAGATTACAGATAAGATTATAGTGAATAAATTATTTTAATTTATGACAATAAATACAAGATTCTGCCTTTCAAAGACAGGAAAACTGTAAGACATTATGGAAGGAGGAAAAGGAAATGGGACTTGGGTTTCCCTAGATTCTGATAAAGAATACTAAGAATTTGACAGCCTTTATAATTGAAGCAAAATCTTAAAATAATGGGCATGTATTTTTTGTTCTATTATTTGTTAAGAGCTCAATGATTTGGAAAGTCATTCACTTTCAATGATTAACATAAATATTTCCACTGGGAAAATACTTTGAAAATACTTTTTAGAACATTCACTTAAAAACAATTAAACATGAATATTTTTTTTTCTCTGTTTGGGAGGAGGAGAGAGAAAGACAAGTTATGTTTGACAGGGTCTTTGCAACCCTCTGCCCCAGTCTTCCAGTTAGCGAGCATTCAGGTTAGTCTAGGACCCAAACTCTGGCCTCCCATGTGGCCCAACCTCATGTAGCAGCATTCTACCACTTCTGTTACCATGGGTGGGACACAAAAACGTAGACACTTTCTGTTATTAATCCATTTCATTCAGTGATTGCATTAAGATAGAAAAATGCAGACTTACGTGTCATACACATTGAGTAACCAATTGAGGCACATATCTACACAGAGAGGAACGTTGACCAGGTCCTTATGCATTTGTTCAAGTCCATCGTAAGTTGTTGTCAGACAGTTGATGACATCTGGGACACTAAGGAGTTGATCATTTTGGTTCAGCTTGTGCTGTTTGAAAACTTCATTTGTTGTATTCAACTCTAAGAGGTCCACTAACCAAGTAAGAAAAAGGATTATATGCAGTCATTGCATTATATAACAACAAGACATAAAACTTCCTATTCTCAAGTATTTAGCTTGATTCTTCATTTTAAGAATCTATCTTTTTAAGCCAATTTTAGTTTTTAAAGCAATAGATAGCATTTCTATTCTTACATTTCTTTTAAAAATGTATTATTGTTATTATTTTTTAATTTGACTAGAGAGAGACAAAGAGAGAAAGGCAAAGTGAGAAAGCGAGCTGCCAGGTCTGGGACTTGTGGGAATTCAGCACCTTCACCACCACACCACTTGCTGGCCCTGTCCAGTCTTACATTTCTCATCTCTTCTGTTACCCACGTTCCCATGCTTTTGAATTTGAGCTCAGTCACTTTCTAGTCTCATCCCTCTTTTTTGCTCTTTGGAATAGCAATTTTTTCCACTTTCTTTTTCAGGCATTCTACTTTCTCTCTAAGCTCTTTCTACTTTTAAATATAGAAAGGTATAAGTCTCTAAATCTATTCCAAATGATAAACACAATTAAATACTAATTGCTCTTCTCATCGTACCTTCTATCAACAGCCTGCCAACCAGTTTTCTGTTCATCATTGATATTGCTGTTTCATGAATCATTCTTAAACAGTTTCTTAACATGCATAGAAACATATGACATACAAAGTTCATAAGGACGCTCAAAGTTCATAAAGAGATGTTCTCTGGCAATTAAAATAAATAGCTCTTCACTGTCTCCACTGTCTATTGAATCAAGACCGAGCTACGCACCATCATGATCTGGTCCTAACCTAGTTTACTTCCCATGATACTCTGACATAACTGGAAATGTATAGTTAAGAAGGATTAACAGAGGTTCTCGGGGCAGACCCCAAATCCATGGATCTTCATGTTTTGCTCTCATCCTGACTCTTCATGTGCTGAGTGTCTATGGAGGGTACAGCCAGTGCTGAAGTATGTAGTGTGTGCACAGAACAGGAAGGCAGAGCTGGTCTTTCAAAGATTTACCAAGAATTTTACTAAAAGGAAAAGAATGTGCCCTAAAAGAATAGACAATATCTACAAGAGCTGTCTCTGCTAGAGGAGTGGAAGAACAACTAGAAAATTGTCCCAGGGGAATTGGAACTTGAAATTGGCCTCGAAAAATAGGAAGCTAGGGGCTGGCAGTGGTGTAGTGGTTAAGGTACTCGACTCCCACATCGTCGACAGTGGTTCAAGTCCCAGACCTGTTGGTTTGTTTTCTCACTTTCTATCTGTCTGGTCTAAATAAATAAATAAATAAATGATTATTGGGAAAAAAAATTAATAATATATAAGAGATCTATGAGAAACAAGGGAAGAATTCCAGCAAGACAAAATTGCTTGAGAAAAGACAAGAATTCAAGCAAGTTCAGGGGCTCTAAGGAAGACCAGACTTCAGTGTGGATTATGCATGGCTTACAGAAGGGTCATGTGTGGTCATGCAGAAGCAGACGGGAAGTTCATGAGCTAGGCACACATGCCCCAGGAGAGGTCCACAAGGCCAGGTGGAGGAGTTTAGACAACAAAGACAAGTTTTTTTAAAATCAACTTTGCATCATTCACTAGCTAACTGAAAACAAAGCAACCTATCAAATTACCATCAAATATATTTATTGAGTGTAGCTATGATTCTTACAAAGCTAAACAAATGAGAATGGAAAAATCGCAGAACACACATTAAGGTCTGATCATGGAAACTACTTTTTAAAAAAGCCTTCCTCTATCTCCATATTTAACATTTTAGCATTAAAAATTAAAAAAAAAAACTCAGTGTATTTAAAGTAAAAATGAACTAATTTCTCTTGGCCTTATACAAAAACTATTCTCTCAAAAAACATAGTGACATATTTTGACAGTTACGTGAAATGAACAAAGAGCTTCCTTTGTATTTATCTATTTTTAATCATTGAATACCACTAGTTTTGAATTTTTAAAAGACATTATTAAATGCATCCATGCTAACTGCTTAAACACCATAGAATTATCTGCTTTTTCAAGTTATCTGCATTGGATAAAACTACTTTAAAATTATGGACTAAAATGATTTTGAAGACAACCCAACAAAGAAGACATTTTTTAAAAGAAACAGAAAAAGACAAACACAACACACAAAAATCTGATACCAGGCCAATCTGTTTCCTTCAGATGCCAAATATATCCCTGGTAAACTTAAACTAATAACAAAAATAGATGACATAAGCTTCACATGCATTAAAGATGGTGTTAGAAAATACTAGGAACCAACCATCTGGAATTTTCATTGTCAGCTTTACCCCATTTCTTAGCACCTGACATTTTTCAGTTATAAACCTCTAGAGGGCAGGAGAGAAATTCAAAATCCTCCTCCACAGTGCTTGACAAAAGAAAGTGCTTAATAAAGAAGAATGGCTACAGAGTTCTAATTCCCACAGACACAAAGACACACATTCAAATACTGCCAACATACTCTAGGTTTTCTGAGTTCCAACATTAACTACACCAGCAACACAGCACTGTTGTTGGATCTCCTCATGGCACAAAGTGACAATGGCCCTGATTCCAAAAAGACCATTTCCTGGATCAGGATGTCCTTGTGTTTCTCTCAGAAAAGTCTCTCTTGTGCTGTGACGGTAATTTGCAACATCCCACAGACAATCATGTCTTCAATTTCTAGTGATTTACTCTGACACTCTGCCTTGGTGCCGAAGCCAAGCATAGATCTTCCTGAAGTGTGTCACATTTAGTTACCTTTAAAGAACTAACTACATTTAAATCACAGAAAATTATGAGTATGCTTTTCTCTTTTCAAAGAGGTAAATGACAGCTCAGTCATGTGGTAGGTGAAACAAATAGCAGAATCATTTTCTAACCAACTTTCAGATATTTTTCTCTAATCTCACATGTAAGGTACAGGGGATCAAATAAAAATGCATCATCTGGACCAGCAGTTGGTGTAACGGCTATGTCGCTGGACTCCCATGAAGTCAACTGTGGTTTGAGTCCTGGACCCAGTGGCTTAAACTCATACAAGGCATACATGTGTATGTCCAAGATCCCAAGAGGAGAATAGAAGTGAAGGGATTGTGCTGTGATCATCCCCCCTGGGGGATAGTTTTTCGCTTTCTGGCGAACGCATGCACCCTATAGCAAAAACCTCTCAAAAAAAAAAAAAAGGGGGGGGGGCATCATTACTCTGTTCTGCAAATAAACAAACAAAAACAAAACAAAAACACTTGCTAGCATCCAACAGCACAGTAGCATCCAACCTTGAGCTTCTCTGACTCTTCTTGCAGGTCTCAAAGCTGTCTGTTTCTGCTTAGCTCCTTTCTTACCTCCTCTTCCGCAAGCACCACAGAAATACAGGTGAGGCTCAGGTTGCATGGTTCACCTTTCTTTCTCTAAGCCTGCTGCCCTCTTTCACCATTCATGACTTCCATTATTACTTCTCTCTGTGTGACTCCAGACTGTTTTCCCCTGCTGATCTCCTGCCTGAGTACCTGATTCACAGCCCCTTGCTCAGCTCTCTGCTAGAGCCAGTCCATTCTCCTTCGGGAACCTCTATTTAGATACATTCCCAATAGAGGCCTTGACTTCTTGTTATGGTGAGATCCAGTTTGCAATCTTAAGATATCCTGATAGCCTCCCTCCTTCACCCACCATAAGTGACCAACTACCAAAATCTCCTTGTCATCAATTCTCCCTTGGGAAGTCTTATAAATACACACCCTCATCTCTCCTTCTACAACCAGCCAGCTCAGCCTCTGCCATCTGCCTCCTAAACTATTTCCTCACCCTCTAGTCCCTCTTCCTTTCAGTCTGGCTTAGACATTAGCTAAAGCATATGCCATCTCTGACCCTAACTCTAAGCTCTTACAAAACAGAAAATGGTTCTTTATATAATATTAAGTACGCTACGAGAGCTTGAGGAATAAACTAAGGAATTAGAAAAGGCTTCAGGAAAGAAAAGTCCTTTGATCTGACCTAAACTAACTTTTAAGGACATTTCTGGGTGTTGGACAAATAGCTAAGCCACTCCACCCAGACCCACGGTGTCACAGTTAAGTGAGATGCTTAGAAAGCCAATTTTTACATGGCTGACTGGGGTTGAATTCAGGCCCTGGTGGCTCGAAAACCATGCCATGGACATGTGCATACATGTCCCAAATCCCGATGGGATGCAAAAATGGAAGATTACTGCACAACTATGTCCTATGGCAGAAATATCCTTTCTCTCTCATCACCCATCCTCCTCTCTGGCACATGTATATGCACTCTGGCAGTTAATAATGATTTTTTTCTTTAAATGAGAAAGAAAAAGTATACATGTGAGGGGAGTTCAAAAGTACATGAAAAATATTATTAAAGTACTTTTATTTTAGTGTAAAAAATTGAAATACATGGATCCTTTTTAAATAACATGCATTTCTGTGAACTTGCCGAAGACTCCTCATTTATCCCTAAGTAATATAGCATTTAGTTTTGCATGGTTTTCAACTATCTTATATAACTGGAACACTATCTTATATAAATAGAACCGAACTTTACATATTTTTTTCTGCTACTGGATTTTTTTTTTATTCGATCTTATAGTGCTAAAATTGAGCCACATGGACTGTGATTGCAAATTTATTTATTGGGTTGTTGGAAAAGTCATGACACATTTTGGCAGAAAAATAAAACTGAAAAAAATACATAATTACTTTTCCAACAACTGAATATATTTGCTGCTGTACCATATCACATTTCTGAATATGCCAAAATTAAACAAATTTTACTATTAAAAAGTGCTACTGGTTAACAGGTGATGTGGTGGTTAAGGCACACAGCCAACTCCACGGTTTGAGTCCTAGACCTAGCCGTTTGAAATACATGCTGGACAGGCATGCATTCATGTCCAAAAATCTTGAGAGGAGAATGAAGAAGGGATTATGGCATGGCCATAACCCCTGGGGCATGATTTCTCACTTTGCCTCTCTCTCTCTCTTTCTCTCTGTGTCTCTCTCTGATAAGCACAAACGCTCTAGGACAAATAAATCTTAAAAAAAATTTTTTTTTAAAAAGTGCTACCATAAATCCTGTACAGATATTCTGGTGTGCTTCCATATAACCTTCCAACTCAAATCACTCACTCAGCATGTCCTAAGTAATCCCTGCTCTTGTGCCACAAATTATACGAGGGCCCCAAGGGAGAAAAAAAACTACTCCCCTCCCATGAAAGTGTACTTAATTTTGGAGAGACAGACAATAAATATTAAAAATTTTGACTCTGACACTTTGTGTTAATGCCTAAGCCAAGAATCATGACAAGTGCCATGTAAGAAAAGATCCAGTTCGGACCAGCTAGGTGGTATAGTGGTTAAGGCAGCTGGATCCCACATGACCAACTGCATGGTTCAAATCTCGAACCTGAAGGCTTGAAAAACATGCCAGGTCTATGTGTGTATGTGTCCGAATTTCCAAGATGAGAATGGAAGAGAAAGGTTTGCAGGGTAGTCACACCCTCTAGGGATTAATTTCTCTTTTTCTTTATCTCTCTCTCTCTCTCTTTCTCTTTCTCTCTCTTCCTCCCTCCCTTCCCCCTCCCTCTGAGTGTATATGCCCTACTACAAATTAAAAAAAAGAAAAACAGTTCTATGAGATAGAAATCAAGAACGAGCTACTCCAGAGTGAAGAGCCACAGAGATTCTCATAAAAGCTGAGTTGAACTGAGACCTAAGGGAAGAGAAGGTGGCAGTACACAGAGGTGGGCATGAGCTTTCAGGCAGGAGAGAGAGAACACAGAGTCTGCCATTTCAATCCACTGGAACTGATGAGCATCCACAGTGAGCAGAAGGCAGGTGGAGACATGGGCCAGCGAACAACATCCCATTGCAGGGGCAACAGGAATCCACTGAAAGCAGAGGCATGCATCCACATGTAGCATTCTCTGTGACTGGAGTTCTTTGAGTGTGGGAACCAAGCCCCTACATTGTTTTTCTCTGGGACAATCTCAGAGCCTAACAGGTGAATGAACAATGTCAGATCAATGACAGTGTCCCTTCTCCATTAGAGCATTATGTGGGGCAGGGATGTACACAAAGCAGGGATGTACACTAACCTCAACTAACTGTCAGTGGAGACAGGACAACTTCCCTAACATGACACTATCAACAAAGGCAAGCGTATGCTGATCAGGTGAGAAACCATCATTACAGGTCACCATAAAGTACTGGAAAAATTGGAGGCAGGTGGGATTTGCTTGTAAATGTTTCTGAAAGAGGTAAATCTTTAACAGTATTAGGGAGGAATTAAGGGTCACAGACCATTGTAGGGGAAAGATCAGGACATTTCAAGTAAACAGAAAGGATGGGAGAGGAAGGAGCAGATTAATCATAAACAGGGGAGCTCAACAATCAACACAGGCCCCAGGTCAGAGGGCAATGGAGGCAGAAGGCAGCTGGAAAAGTTGAGGTGAGGTCGGTTGACTCTAGGAACATTGTCTCAAATATTTTGAACCCAACACAGTCTGGCACTTCATAATTACGTATGACAAAACATAGTAATTAAAGTCGGAGGAGTCTTTCCTCTGTATCTTCTCAGGTATGAAGGAATGAGCTGAAAGAGCAAGTTTTTTTCTTCAGGAGTCAAAAGACCCAGCAGTAGCAAACACTAAATGCATTAGCATGTTTTCCACCTAGAAGAATTACTGAACACTGGAACCATGATCGTAATGGTACTGGTCTGTGGAGATTCTGTGGCTAACTCATTTGTCCTCATATTATAGCTCCACCTGTCAGCTGGAGACTGGGCCTGCAGGTGAGCCTCTGAGACTGCAGCCACCACGGACTCTGGGGCAGAACGAACACCCTTTGTGGGCACCATTATTTTCCTCTCTTCTTGTCTGGCAACATTAAGATCAGTGGCCAAACAGTGTTGGCTTTAATCTTTTGTTCTGGTAATTCTACAATACTTGCTGCAACTGCTAAAACCTGCTACTCATCTTTGTGCCTCTGCAGCTTAGCAAGAGTCAGGGTCATCTCATTTCTTCCATATCTAGAGGTATTTGTAAGCCCCTTGGACATCCACATATTACGTTTTTCTTCTTTTATTAAGTTTATTTATTTCCTCCATAGTGAGAGAGGCAGAGGGACAGGCACTCCTAACAGTGATTTACCCTGGGTTCCACCAGCCTGTATGCCAGGCATGCACACCTGTGCCAATGTATGTAGGGAGGCCTCAGGAGGTGAGCTCAAGATTTTCCATGTGGGTCTGCATGACATAGCCTTGCATTACTGCTGGGCCACTGCTGACCCAGTTTTTCTCTTTTAAGCTTTGTATTGCTATGTTTTCTCTGAATGATTCTAAATCTTCTTCTTCAACTCTCCTCATGGAGTCAACTCAAAATTTATTACTAATTTCTGTTAACTTCTAAGGAACAGATTTTCAGCCCTAACATATGAGTTTTTTTCTAAAGATAATTTTAAAGGCTTCACTGAACTGCCTTGACATATAACAACTGTTAACAAAAGATAGCAAGCACGAATACTTAGAACTTTTCAAATTAACCTGTCTTAAAAGTATAGGCAAACATCACTTTCCATATTAACTATCTGGCAAGACCTGAATCTTCTTTGGATAGATTAAATCATTAAAACGACAAGCACAAATAGAATCCAAGTACCTTAAATCTATACTCTATTACAGAAATTCTTACTTCTACTAAGTTTTAGGCATCTGAGGGAAAAATAACCTTTTTGTAAAAGGTCTATTACAGAGTATCATTCTGAACCCAACTTCCATAGGAAAATTCACTGATACTATTAAATGTCTCAAGGCATATTTAAAAGGAAATAGACACTTAGCTAATTTGCTAAGATGTCACTTCAAATTTGGACTGGGAATGTGATTTTTTAGTGTTTCTTTATTGTAGGATTGTATTGGTTGAAACTACTTGGAACCCTATAATTCTAAATGGTTACAAAGTACTAACAATGCTAAGATCTACTACCTTGAATTCTTAATTTAGCCCTTTTTAAATTAGGTGGCAGCATAATTTTTGAAAAAGCTTTCCATGTTACTCCTATGTTTTGGTTACTTCTGTTCTCCGGCTGAGAATGGCATATGCCCATTTGTCTTACTACTGCATGCTGAGGGGCAAGTGATGAAGCATTTATAGAAACGCCGCCAACTCCTTGAGCGAGGTGCCCTAAAAATCAGATTAACTCTACAAACACATCACCCTCTTCATTTATCTTTGTCTTAAAAATAAACAACAAAGGCAATCCAAACAACAGAGTAATTAACTTTGGTAGAATAACTTACAACATAGTGCCTTTTGTAGTCTTCGGATTTTGATCGCTGTACGGTAGGCAGAGAAACGTACATTATTCAGGTCAGCTGAAATGAAAAAGGAACAATTCAAAAGCACATTTATTACTTAACCTAAGCAGAATGCCAAGAATGAATTCGCTTACTTCAGATTATGGAGAAATACTATGTCTGCAAAAAATAGTCTTCTCCTACATTCCACAATAGGGGATTAAGAAAATAATGAATCAATAGCAGCAATGTTGACATTTCTAAGCAATGTCACTTAGAAAATGCCAAAAAATAATTTTTAAATAGTTGTTGGGGCTCAGAACGTGAAACCCCAAAGTATGGTCCCTTGGTGTGCCCAGTACTTAGAAATTAGGACACTGGTTGGGGCTGGCAGGTGGCATGGTGGTTGACGTGCTGGACTCCCACATGGCTGACACCAGCTCAAGTCCTGAACATGGCTGCTTGCTTTCTCATTCTCCCTCTCCCTGGTCAAATTGATGAAGAATATTAATAAAATGAAATAAATAATCATTTTTTGTGTGTGTGCTTTTAAAGAAAGAAGGACATGGGAGGAGGCACAGTAGCAGTCTTTCTGACCTTTTGTATTCCTCCTGTCCATATTTCTCTTTCCAGAAGTGATTCTAGAAACCAGAATTTTATCTTCCAAGTTGGAATATAGAAACTAGAATTCTTCTCCAAATCAAGTCATAAAACCTAGCAAAGTCACTGACCTCCCTTTTCCCTTCAAGCCCCTCATGTGATAGATGCCCTTCTCTATACCTGGAGGAAAGGGACTACTACACGGAAAATTTAACAGGAATCTAGACAGGACTTGCTAGGCTTCCCCCCACAGTCCATCAACATTTAGATCATACTCTTTTGTCCAATCATATTTCTACACAGCTCTTCATTCTTCATCAAACTTAAACCTAAAAAAAGAGTCTTCTGGAGCTGGCAGGACATGTGGTAGTTAAGTAGTTGGACTCCCAAATGACCGACCATGGTTCAGGTCCTAGACCTGGTGGCTTGCTTTCTTTCTTTCTCTCTCTCTCTCTCTCTCTCTCTCTCTCCCCTGCCCCCTCTGGTCAAATGGTCAAGTTAAAATAAATAAAGTTAAATAAAATAATACTTAAAAAAAAAAAGAGTTTTCCCCGGCTCTCTGGGACTTCATTGCTGAAGGCTTGCACGTCATGTACAAGTTAATTAAGTACAAGCTTGATTAAGTTTTAGATGTGATTCTTATTAAGGGTGAAGGCAGGTAGCACTCTTTCTGCTTCTACATAGGAGAAGAAGGAAGATGAACAAAAGGAAGCACAGCCCTGGCTTAATAAATATATCACAGAGTAGAGTGAGGGCCCTCCTGTCTTTATTGCTAAAGGATATTCTTCTCCAGAGGTGTTTTTCTCAAAGACAACTACTTTTCTGTCAGCCAAGTTGACCATTTCATAACTCACGAAACTAGTCTTATTTCTATGCTCCTTTCATCCTGATTTAATTGCTTCTTACGCTCTTTCATAGATCTAGTTAAAATCATCCTAAAACCAATATTCAAGATTTGAGAACGATGGGTACTACATTCTTTCTCTGTCTCCCAAAAACAGAGCATCAAAGATTAAGAGATCATCAAGTTTGCCCCCTCATTTTACATACTAAAAAAAAACACAAGTAGCTTTTGGAACCAGGAGTTCGCATAATGGCTATGTTGCTGGACTCCCATGTCATCAACCATGGTCTGAGTTCTGGACCCGGTGGCTTAAACTCACACTGGGTGCATGTGTGTGTGTGTGCCCAAGATCCTGAGAGGAGGATGGAAGAGAAGGGACTGTGGCATGGCCATCCCCCTTGGGGGGTGATTTCTCACTTTCTGTCTATGTCTCTTTGTCTTTCTGGGGAGTGCACGTGCCCTATAGCAAAACAAACAAACAAACAAACAAACTCCAAGAAAAAAGAAAAAAGGAAAACAAGTAGCTTTTCTCTTGTCTGCTAAACCTTAGCAGACTCCTTCCCTACCCAAATGAAAGTTCCTACAAAAGTCCTATATTTGAAGAGACAATAAGGGTTGTAATCCCTCTTGTTGAAATGAGAGTGGGAGCTTCTGGAGGCTGCTCTACTTTTACAGCAACCCCTTAGCTATTTCAAAAGAAAACTTTAAAAGCCACTGAACCAGGGCCAGCAGGTGTTTGTTGGTTAAGTCACTGGACTCAGATCCCATTCTGGTGGTTTGCTTTCTTACTTTCCCTTTTCTTCTGGTGAGTACGTGTGCCCTATAGGAAATTTAAAAAATAATAATAATAATAATAGGTCCAGCAGGTTGGCATGGTGGTTAAGGTGCTGGACACTCCCACATGGCCAACCATAGATCAAGAACTGGACCTGGTGGTGGCTTGCTTTCTCTCTCTCTCTCTCTCTCTCTTCCTCTCTGTCTTGTTCCTTGTCTCTCTCTCTGGTCAAATTAAAAAAAATAAATGAATAAATAAAATTATATAATTCAAAAAAAGTTAAATAAAGTTAAATAAATAATTATTTTTTTCTTTTAATTAAAATGTTGCTTAAACAACCTGAAGGAAGCAAATTAAACAATTAGTTAAGAGTCATATTCTAGGGGCCAGGAAGTGATGTGGTGGTGAAGGCACTGGATTCTCACATGGCCAACTGCAGTTTAGTCCAGATGCGGCACTTTGCTTTCTTTCTCTCTTACTCTTTCTCTTTATCTCTCTGGTGAGCTCATGTCCTTATAGAAAAAAAAATTTAAATAATCGATAATAATAATTAAGTTAAATATTAAAAGATGATCAGAATTCTCAACTAATAATGTATTTTCTTGCTTTTTTATATTAAAATGAATTTAGTTTAGAGATAATGAAATTAGGTAAGTTGATTTTATTACATGAAAAGTGAATTTAAAGCAAATTTAAAGTAGTGAATTAGAGATTGTTATAATTGTATTGGGAGACAGTGGAGACTCAAAGCTGAAGTTTAAGATGACTTAATATGAAAGAGGTAAAACCTACAATTATATGACTCTTTTTAAATCAATTATTGTATGGCTCACATTATTTTAAACCACACATCCTGTAAAGAAGAAAAGCAATATCTGCTTATCCATTGCTGTTAGAAGTTCAACTGATTTTAAATGTCAGTGGCATGATTTTTTCAACATAACACACCATGCAAAAAAAGCTGGTGATGAGTTTCCATTTAAGAATATACAGTTCTCAGAATATATAGAGTCAGCAGGTGGTGAGGTAATTAAGGTTCTGGATTTCCACATGGCTGACCACAGTTCAAGCCCTGGATCCTGCAACTTGAATATCATACCAGGTGCATGTGTGTGTGTGCCCAAAATTCTAAGAGAATAGAAAAGAAGGGATTATGGTGTGGCAATCCCCCGGGGGGGGCAATTTCTCACTTTCTCTCTCTGTCTTTCTCTCCAGTCAGTGCACATACTTTATGACAAACAAACAAACAAACAAAAACCCCAGAATATACAATTGTCTATTGTTCAGGTTAACTTACTTCTATTAATTAAAACAACGCTTACCAAGGGATTGAAAGAGTTCAGTCATTTTAGGGTGATCCCAACAGGTTGTCTGTGTTTGATGGCTGTAAAAAAAAAAAAAAAAACGATAAAACCTCAAAATAAATGAAAGATTATAAAATATAACACAGGGCACAGAAAATATCTAAATATGATTTTTTTCCAAAATTTTAAAAAATACAGGCAATAAAACCATCATTTTGAATTATTCAGAAATATGGCCTAGTTATTACTTAATATTTTGAAACATCAATAATCAATTTCATTTGAGCAACTGTATTGTGAAAAGACACACAAAAATTTACTTTAGCTATTTCATTAAACATTGCAGCTAAAAATTAAATCTAGATATAAAGTATGATTCTCGTGGACCATTGAGCCCTAGACTTGATGCATTGGATTGATTGTTCCAGAAAGATGACACTTTTGTTAAGCAGATACAGATCATAGATCTCATTCAGAACATATCTTCTGACAGCAGAAGTGTTATAGAGCTGCTACACTTTAAAAGTCTTAATCAAATTTCCAAAGGCCAGAGAAATGAAATGTGTAACTGCATAAATACTCCCCTAACAATCTAGAGCCTCCCTCCTCTTCAACCTTTGGTCTCTCCCTCCTTAGTGCAAATTTGCTCTTTTCTAACTTTAGGTATATATGGATTTTTCACTTCTCTTAAGTACATGTCTCTCTCTTGCATTTTGGTTCTACCCACCTCTTCTCAGTTACCTACCAAGGTTACTGTTTTATTTATATATGAAGTCATTTTCCTTTGATCCCTATTATTCACATTTAAAGGAAGTTTTGGGCCATTTGGTGGTTAAGGTACTCAGTCCCACAGGGCCAATTGCCTGGTTTGAGCCCCAGACCCACAGCTTAAAAAAACATGCTGGGTACATGTGAATCTGTGCCCAAAAATCCCCAAAGAAGGGGCAAATGGAGGAGAAGGGATTATAGCATGACCATTCTCCCTGGGCGGTACTTTCTCACTTTTGCTCTCATTCTCTTTATCTCTCTGGTGAGCTCATAAATAAAAATAAAACAATTTTATACTTTTTCTTTTCCTGTAAATTCCAGTATTAGTTGGAAGCCAGATTCCACATGGCTACTTGGTTGGAATCCTGACCCTGGTGGCTTGAAAAAAATGCCAGGTACATGTACATGTGTGCCCAAATTTCTGACAGGATGGAGGAATGGAGCAAAAGAGATTGTGGCTTGACCACACCACTTTGGAGGATTCTCTCTCTTTCTCTTTCTCTTTTTCTCTCTCTTACAAGAACATGTCCCCTTTGGCAATTAAAAAAATACATAAGAATAAAACAGATAAATATAATGCTAACATTAGGTACATGCATTACATTAACTTTGTGTGTGTGTGTGTGTGTGTGTGTGTGTGTGTATGTGTGAGTGTAAGGTAAACAGCTCATAACTTTAATAAGTCAGTGGCCTTACATTTAAAAATAGTTTTATTGGCCCTTATCTAGGTCAGAATAGAGTAATAACATTTAATAGTACTCCAAAGACTTCTTAGATGACACCGATTTCCTACAGAACTGTTTAGTAAGCTAAGTGAAATAGCACAAGAGACACTACTATTAAACACACAAGAGACACTTATATTAAAATTTCCATAAAATCAAATTTAAAAGAAATTATCTTTAAACCTATGTTATATATTAAAAAGTGAATCGTATAACTGGAAAAAGAAAATAATTAGTTTGTGTGTGTGTGTGTGTGTGTGTGTGTGTGTGTGTGTGTATGTGTGTGTGTGTAACAAAATCCCCAAATAACTCATAATTTGCTTTACAATATATATATGAAGTTTATATTTGAAATTTGGTACATAAAATAGCCTGGAAACTCTAAAATCTCAAATAAAGTAATAAACCTACAATATGAAGGCCTGTCTCAGAAAGAGTTGGAAAGTTGTCTGGCTGTCCTACCTTGGTTCTTGACCCCAATGCAAAGGTAAGTATCTCCACTTGATAGTTTATGACTAAACACCAACAAAACCATCTGACCCTGGTGCTATCTAAATTGCTCCAAAGAGCATGGAGCAGATCCTCAAGTTGTCTGACTGAATTCATAGTATGGCCTAGACCTTGACAGAAATGCAGGATCACAGAAAGAAATACCTCCTTACCACCAATGAAAACTAAAGAAAGATTTGCCAAAAATGCAATGTAATTCCAGTAATTCATCATTGATTCCCACTCTTAGATAGCCTACTATGGTTCAGTTGATCTCTTGTCTTCACTTCTGAATAATTTCAGTACCCATGGCAACCCTAATGTCTGTCCAGAGACAGACATTCCATCGTGAATGTCCATCCAAGGCTGAAGAACCAAATTTAAGCAAGGAATGCAGACTGACCTCATACCTCAACAACAAACACAAGTACAATCTCCCTACAGCCACAGGTGTGCTGTGCTGCCTCACAGGACCCTGTGAAGGGGAAAATACCACCACCTACTCAGGCAGAGGTCTGAGAATTCTAGGCACACACCACTTCCAGTGGACATTTTACTGAAACCATGACTGGGAGCTTTGGGAACGCAGGCATTTGGTAAATAGATGGTAGGGAGGGAAACGGTATCTTCCTTTGTGAATTCATTGCCAGTTTATTCATTAGATTGAACTGCCAATGCTGAAAATAAATACAGCTTCTGGTTACAAAAATATAATTGCAGCTTACCAAACAACAGTTACAAAAAAGGAAAGAAAGTAGTAGATGCAGTCGGCTGTTGGATTTTTTTGAAATTCAAGGAGGAGCTTAAAGCAAAATCCACAATCAACCCAAGGGCTCAAAGTATTTGAACAGCTGCAGATAGGTCTCCTCTTGCCAAAATGCTTCCAGTCCTCCCAGGATAGGCAACACAAACAGAATAAAAGTAGCATTTTCCCCCTCAAAATAACAACAGCCTAGGTTGCAGCTAATCTCAAAAATGAAAGCAGAATGGGATTTAATATCATGCAGCATGATAGCTATAAAATAAAATTGTATTTTATTAAACAATTATAAAAACAATTTTCTTTTTAGTAACTGACATAGGACTCTATCTAATAATACAATGAAACGTTAAAAATTTAACGAAGTAGCAATTAAAAGATCCAAAAATCACATAAAAGCAAACAATAGTGAAAATGCATGCATAGAACTAAGTGCCTAGCTATCACAGTTTTGCTTGTGTGGGAAAAAAAACTCTGAAGGCCTTTAAAAGGGTAAAAAATTAATGGGTATCCTGCAAAGCTTAAATTGTCTTTGAGCTGTTTTAAACTTTGCAAACTGAGGGAAACAGCTATTATGACAATGATTTCTGTCCACAGGAATACAAATCATAAGCACTGGGACACAACTGATCATTGTTCTGTGAATATGGACCACTTAGTCATTTTTCACCCATAGGTAAATTCATTTTAGCATTCCTTTTCAGACCACAAAGATGTGACACTTTATATTCTTTATGAAATCTTTTATAACTTTCCTTTTTTTTTTTTGAGAGAGAGAGAGAATTTTGCTATAGGGCGTGTGTGCTTGCTGGAGAGATAGAGACAGAAAATGAGAAATCACCCCTCCAGAAAGAATGGTTATGCCACAATACCTTCTCTTCCAATCTCCTCTCAGGATTTTGGGCACACATGCACATGCACCTGGCCTGAATTTTAAACCATCGGGTCTAGGACTTGAACCACAGTCAAATACATGGGAATCTATCCCTACAGCCACAGGTGTGCTGTGCTGCCTCACAGGACCCTGTGAAGGGGAAAATACCACCACCTACTCAGGCAGAGGTCTGAGAATTCTAGGCACACACCACTTCCAGTGGACATTTTACTGAAACCATGACTGGGAGCTTTGGGAACGCAGGCATTTGGTAAATAGATGGTAGGGAGGGAAACGGTATCTTCCTTTGTGAATTCATTGCCAGTTTATTCATTAGATTGAACTGCCAATGCTGAAAATAAATACAGCTTCTGGTTACAAAAATATAATTGCAGCTTACCAAACAACAGTTACAAAAAAGGAAAGAAAGTAGTAGATGCAGTCGGCTGTTGGATTTTTTTGAAATTCAAGGAGGAGCTTAAAGCAAAATCCACAATCAACCCAAGGGCTCAAAGTATTTGAACAGCTGCAGATAGGTCTCCTCTTGCCAAAATGCTTCCAGTCCTCCCAGGATAGGCAACACAAACAGAATAAAAGTAGCATTTTCCCCCTCAAAATAACAACAGCCTAGGTTGCAGCTAATCTCAAAAATGAAAGCAGAATGGGATTTAATATCATGCAGCATGATAGCTATAAAATAAAATTGTATTTTATTAAACAATTATAAAAACAATTTTCTTTTTAGTAACTGACATAGGACTCTATCTAATAATACAATGAAACGTTAAAAATTTAACGAAGTAGCAATTAAAAGATCCAAAAATCACATAAAAGCAAACAATAGTGAAAATGCATGCATAGAACTAAGTGCCTAGCTATCACAGTTTTGCTTGTGTGGGAAAAAAAACTCTGAAGGCCTTTAAAAGGGTAAAAAATTAATGGGTATCCTGCAAAGCTTAAATTGTCTTTGAGCTGTTTTAAACTTTGCAAACTGAGGGAAACAGCTATTATGACAATGATTTCTGTCCACAGGAATACAAATCATAAGCACTGGGACACAACTGATCATTGTTCTGTGAATATGGACCACTTAGTCATTTTTCACCCATAGGTAAATTCATTTTAGCATTCCTTTTCAGACCACAAAGATGTGACACTTTATATTCTTTATGAAATCTTTTATAACTTTCCTTTTTTTTTTTTTTGAGAGAGAGAGAATTTTGCTATAGGGCATGTGTGCTTGCTGGAGAGATAGAGACAGAAAATGAGAAATCACCCCTCCAGAAAGAATGGTTATGCCACAATACCTTCTCTTCCAATCTCCTCTCAGGATTTTGGGCACACATGCACATGCACCTGGCCTGAATTTTAAACCATCGGGTCTAGGACTTGAACCACAGTCAAATACATGGGAATCTAGTGATGTAACCCTTATGTCATCTGCTGGTTCTGAAATCTTTAATA